GCTGCTGCTGCTGCTGCTGCTGCTTCTTATTTTCGCTTTCTGATTTACACCCACAGACAAGTTCTTGTGATAGTTTTGACTGTTTTTATGAGTTCCTTTTTAGTTTCACACAACTTTGAGTGCAGTTTTGACTCTGGTCAGATATGACTACAACATGCTTGACCAACATGGGCAGGTCATTATTCTACGACATAGAAAACTTATAAAATACACAGGGCTTCGTCTAAGGAGTTCACCGTTGGGCCCATGTGGGCTGTGTGTGCAGACTACAGAACATGTCCTGCAAGAATCTCCCTTGTACAGAAAGAACATTAAAAAGTTCAAACTTTTCAAAACTGCTGTTGCCTTTCTAATGCCTATCCTAATACAATCAGCCACTACTTACACGTATTCCTCGTTTCAAGGCTCGTAATATTATGTACGTAGAGGCCACAGTTGAGCATGCATTGGTGACTCCCCTCCCGTAGCTGTACTTCAAGGCTTCTGCGATAGCAAAGCCCAAACCTGGAAGAAGATTGGTTTTGCTTTTATTTGAGTTAATTGCAAATCCTTTACAGTAAATGATAAAATACTTGAGTAGTGAATCCACAATAGTAACTCGCGACGGTCAAAACATCTGACGAAAATGCTTGGAAGAAATTAAAACAACCATCGCAATGGCCATTTGCCAAATATAAAAGATGCACACTGTGATGAGGTTCTGTGCATGGTCTCCACGATTACATTGTGGCAAGCAGAAAGTCCGTGCAACAAGTGACAGCACGAGATACTTGTGGCTGGTCGAGTAAGCGAAGGAAAGCCCGAGCTAGACTCGTGGTCAGTTGATCATCAGAACTCGTAGAAGACGGTTGCATTTAGTAGAAGATGTAGTCCCTATGTCGTTCGTGTGACCAGTATTTGAATATGTCGCGAGCGATAGAAGTCTGAATAATTGTTAAAGCATGTGGGAATAAATGTAACTGAATAAACTGATAGTATGTATAAGAAAGCCGAGTAGTTTTTGTGTTATCAAACCCTAGACATGAGAGCAGTGTGAATTAATCATCCAGAGAGAGAGAGCCATGGCGAAAGCAGATTTGTTGTAGGACTAGGTGCATGTCAAGTGACGGTAGAAAGCCACGACTCATTCCACACACAAATATGACGATGTGAGAAAAACCTTACCAAATCAAGCTTTGACCACAAAGAAGAAGACTTCTTATCCAGGATACAATCTTGAAGACCCAGCCAGCCTACTCGCAATAAAGAAACATAAACCATTCGTGTTAATAATTCGAAATGTATCATTCTTGTTAACGATGTGCACGGAAATTAGAATATGGTACGCAATTGTTGATGATGGATTTTGTCGACCAGTCACCTGATTCGTTGTTGTTGACAAGGATGATGCATTTCGAATTATTTACAATTCGGCCAACCGTTGATTACTCCGATATGCGGAAGCGTCAGTGATCAGCCGATTGAAACCAGAACTTTGCAGGCAGAAAGAAATGGTCGTTATCTTACGGTTACCTTGGTGAAACAGACAGTTCATGAACGTAGTCGAATTTGTGTTTCAGTTTCTAGGATTCAATTATTTGCTTCATTTTAATCAATTGTGTAGTATGCATACTGTAGTATGCACCCGACGAGATACAGCGAAATATGCCAGGCAATAAATTGTGCAGTCTATTATTTGTCTTTTCTTTGTTCAAATTCACAACGGGGAAACACTGCTTTGATAAACCATTGTATTTAGACTGAGTTCGGGACACAGTAGACTTTTCAGCCATATGTGTAAGAAATTCGAGACTTCGGATTCAGAACTGTGCCCTTGTGGACAGACACTATACAATGCTGAAGATGTGCTACAGATTGTAGTGATGACGATGATCGTAGTGATGATGATGATGATGGTTGTGATGATGATGATGTTCGTAGTGATGATGATGTTCGTAGTGATGATGATGATGGTAGTGATGATGATGATAATAATGTTGGTAGTGATGATGATGTTCGTAGTGATGATGATGATGGTAGTGATGATGATGATAATAATGATGGTAGTGATGATGATGTTCGTAGTGATGATGATGATGGTTGTGATGGTGATGATGATGATGATGATGATGGTAGTGATGATGATGTTCGTAGTGATGATGATGATGGTTGTGATGGTGATGATGATGATGATGATGGTAGTGATGATGATGATCGTAGTGATGATTGTGATGATGGTAGTGATGACGTGCAATAAAGAGATCCCAGATTTGGCACGGCTGGCATTCCAATGAAGACCAAGCTGTGTGTTTATCACTGGAAGCCACATTGTCGCGCCACAGATTCACAGAGACCTGAGGTCTTGTCTGACAACCACTGGCAGGGCGAACGAAAAGAAGACGTTCATAAATCAAAACTGGGTGCTTTCCTAATATCCTACCCCAAAGAGTGGACATACACAGGTCACGGGACAGTCTAATATTTTAGGGGTTGGTAGATAGGCTGAATACAGTCATGGGACCTAGGCTGCACTCTCTTTTGGGACGTCGGTGGGTTGGGGTTAGGTCCAGTTCTAAATATTTTTGGAGTCGCTAAAAGAATCAGAAAGCCGGAAAAACCCAATCTTATCACCCTTTAAAATTTTGTACTGTCCTGTGACGTCATGTGGGGGTAGGATATTACGAAATAACCCAAAACAGTTATCCGGAGTAAAAACATTGGGAATAATTAAACAGTTTGTAATAAACAAAAAACAGGAATTGACTGATGCCTGCGCTTTATAGAGTCTCTAGTCTGAAGTTTTTGGGGAAAAACTAAACAAATCCCATTGGATTAAGAGGTGAGGAAAGGACGATGGAGTTGGATGTGACACAAATTGAGAAAACCTGATGAAAATCTAGATAGAATATCCTTGCATCGGAACCCACAATGTCAGAGGAAAAATGATGGGGGGGGGGGGGCATACGGAAAAAGAGATAAGGCATTGTGATTAAAAACATGGATAGGGGAAAGGAGGGGGTGGGGGTTATCTTAATGAGAAGATAAAAGGACTTGGTTAATGACCTATGCTCCCCGTGTGGGCTCCTGAGCCCTATTGTTGGAGGGACGGGGCGAATAAGAATAAACCCACTGCCGCCCCTACAAGCATGTCGCAAGAGTCGACTAATTGAGCTTGCGGTCTTCCTGCGAAGTCGTAGTACATCTTCCTGAGGGGCAGAGAACTGACAATATACATACAATTAAGTCAGATCTGTTAAACGCTTGTGCAGGCAACACTCAGGTTCTGGAACAAGACTAAAGTCCAGAGGTGGACAAACAACCAGAACTTTCCGCCAGAGTTTACAACCGGTACACGCGAAGAAAACAAGAAGAAGAAACAGAAGAAGTGCCAATGATTCCACTGGGGAGTAAAGGGTGGAACAAGGATTCTTCTCTTCCACCTTGTACCTCATCGAAGTGTCGGGGGGGGGGGGGGGGGATGTAAGGAACAAGGATAATGATTCATAATTGTATAGGATATTGATTGTGCTGATGGTCCAGTTCCAATTCCAATTCCAATTCGTCCAAAAAAAATTCCAAATTTGATCCTTTTTCAGCCGCCCGAAGGTTCCTAAGCTTTTTTTTTTAAATTTTCTTTTTATTTGTGGTGCGTTGTCACACCTGATATTCCGTGCTGATGGGGTAATTATAGATGTTTTTAACGGTCATAATGGTGATTTTTATGGGTGTTTTATCATGATGATGGTGTTGATAATAATACTTATGTTATGATGGTGGTAATAATGATGATGGTAGTGATAATGATGTTAACGATGGTAATTATAATGATGACGATGATGGAAGCGATGCTGATGGTAGTGATAATGATGGTGGTGATGCTGATGGTAGCAATGATGATGATGACGATGATATAAGTGAAGATGATGGTGATGATGATGGTGGGGATGATGATAGTAGCAATGACGATGATGACGATGATATAAGTGAAGATGATGACGATGATGATGATGATGGTAGTGATGACGATGATGATGATGGTAGTGATTATAATGATGATGCTGATGACGATCATGGTAGTGATGATGACGATGATGATAATGATAACGATGACGGTAGTGATGTCCATGATGATGGTATAATGATGATGATGATGATGGTAATGATGATGATGATGGTAATGATGATGATGATGGTGTGATGATGATGATGGTAATGATGATGGTAATGATGATGATGGTGGTAATGATGATGATGATGATTTTAATGATGATGATGGTGGTAATGATGATGATGATGATGATTGTAATGATGATGATGATGGTAATGATGTTGATGATGGTGTGATGATAATGATGGTAATGATGATGATGATGATGGTGTGATGATAATGATGATGATGATGGTAATGATGATGATGATGGTGATGGTAGTAGTAGTTATAATGATGATGATGATGATAATAATGATAATGATGATGATGATGGTAATGATGATAATAATGATGATGGTAGTAATGCTGATGGTAATGATGATGATGATGGTAGTGATAGTGATGATGGTAATGAAGAGGATGGTTATCGTGATGATGGTGTAGATGCTATTAATGATAATGATTACGAGTCCTGTGTGTCCAATTCAAAAGTTACTTACCGCACAAACGCCAAGGGTATTTAGAATAATTGTCGTCAGACATTTTTCAGGACTGCTGCAAGCTATCATTTAGCTGTCAATCAGCTATCAATCAACTGTTAATCAGCTATCAGTCAGCCGTCAGTCAGTTATGAAGCATCTATAAATCGCCTCGACCAGCGGCTACTGTTGTTTTTGACTGGCTGGACACTCCTGAAACGTACTTTTTTGTGCCATTCAATAGCAATATTTCTAAATTCATGTATGAAAAGTTATATGTAAAAATTCGTTTTCATGATTCGTGTTTATATATATATATATATATATATATATATATATATATATATATATATATATATATATATATATATATATATATATATATAAACACACACACATATGTAATTAGCTATAAACAAATATTATGCCCTACAACATCTGCTCAAATCAATCAAATGTTCCATCTCGTAACACAATATCACAATGTATAAAACCATGATTATACCAACTCTCTTGGACGAAACCTGGAGTGCAGTTAAAAGAAACGAAGCCGTAATGAAAGCAGTCTTACGACACATTTTTCTTATACACCAAAGAATCAGACAGACTAGAATGGAGATTGGGAAGCAACAAAGAAATGCGTTATCTGTTTAAATCACCACCAGTTACCAGCATCATAAAGTTAATTATTTGACTATGATAACTGGGACATAAAGAAAGAATGTCACCTAACAGAGATGCAGAAAGCTGCGTAAACAAAAAAGCTGAAAGGGAGTGAACCACGAGACCAAAACAACAGTGATCAGTCAATGACTCACATCCATAGCTTGCCTCGGGAAAGTTGTATGATCCCACCATTTTTACTATATCTCACTTATAAGAGCTTCGGCATTTTTCTAATAACATAATATGAAATACTGATGCATGATAAGGCAGACCTGGTTACTGCCTTGTGGGAGAGCGTGTACAGTTCGGAGGAGCAGATGGGTCACCACAGTCTGGTGAGATTGATGCAGCGGGGAGTGACGAGAGGTTCTGGCAGATGCTCGAGGCTCAGAGGAAAGGCAAGACGGACGTTTAATCAAAATGCTACTGGCACCATTGGTATCGGAACTCTTCGCTGGCTGCTGAATATGGGGACGTGGTGCTTATGGGAATGCCCTGAGTGCTAGGATGTCGGTTCTTGAATTAAATCAAATCAAATCAGCTCATGACATGTCTAGAAACCACTAATCTATCTGTTTTCATCTGTTTGGAACAGGACTGCTTCGCTTATTTTTCTATCATTCCATGATATTCTTTGTGTGTTTCTCCAAACCCACATCTACGTTGCGATGAATACTTACACAGTTGCAAATTTCACAGCCTCAAAGGTCACTGAAATAAGCCACAATACAGACAAATCAAGTCCCCCAAAAATCATCATGTGTTCCCTGTTGCTCAGTAAAGTGCTAAAAGGTGCATACTTTCAAGTCTAATTTTCCAGTCTGGACTGCGCATCTCAAATGTGAGCTCAGCATGAATTAGCAAGTCCTTTGCAGAACGTCGCTCTCATCACGGTCTGCCTGAAAGAAACTGTCTCTCGCTAGCTCTCCCGCCTTATATACTTTCATACTCAAGGAGTCACTTATATCCTGTGTCCATCTTCGTGTCGGTCGGCCCCTGCCCCTCCTTACTGGTACCATGCCCTCTGCTATTATTTTTGTTTTTCCCAATCCGTCGTAGCTCTTGATGTGACCAAAGTATTTCAGCTTCCGAGACAGGATGCTGTTTATTAGCCAGTATTCCTTGATGTTCAGATCTTTCTAGATGTCAGTATTTCTCCACTTCTTTGTCCAAGATGTTCTGAGAATCTTGCTATAGCAATTCGGCTCAAAATCCCCTATTTTCTTTCTTAAAGACTGGGAGATAGTCCACGACTCACATCCGTATGTTGCTTCAGGGAAGATGAATGCTCTCGAAATTCTGATTTGTATCTCCTTGCTGATGCTTAACCATAGACTTTTAGGGCTGTTCAATATTTGCTTTGCTATGGCCATCCTCCTTTTAATTACTGTCAAACAGTCTCCATTGCTATTTATTATAGAGCCTAGATATTTAAAATTTGTAACATTTTCAATATTTTCATCATTTAGTGTTATTTTTGGGTGACAGACAGTTTTATCTGTGCCTATTATTTTCGTTTTTTTTTAAATTCAAGAACAGATTTTGATCTTCACTGTGCTTTTGGACAGACAATATTAAATTTTGTATTCCCTTTACGCTGTTAGAAAGGAGGACTGCGAGCTAGACTCATATTTTGATATATCAGTTGACACTTGGTACATTGTTGATTGTTCATTTGATGATCATCTGCATCGCACATGCCCATAAGGGCTCCGTCTTCCCCTGAGTTGGACTCCAAGGGTTTTTAGGCTAACAACTCTCATTCTGTTCTGTTCAGAACTTCAAAATTGAAGAACCTGTTTTCCTAACAATTTTTTATCTTTTCTGTTCCCTACCTTTTGAAATATTTTAAAAAAAAATATTTTTAGGCGACTCATAGAAACGACGCTCCAGCGGCATAAATCATATTTCCATACCTCTAATCAGCAATGTCACATTTTCTGATAACTTAAATTGTATTATATTCATCATCATCATCATCATAATCATCATCATCATAATTATCATAATCATCATCATCATCACCATCATCATCATCATCATCATCATCATAATTATCATCATCATCATCATCATAATTATCATCATCATCATAATTATCATCATCATAATTATCATCATCATCATAATTATCATCATCATCATAATTATCATCATCATCATCATCGTCATAATTATCATCATCATCATAATTATCATTATCATCATCATCATCATAATTATCATCATCATCATAATTATCATAATCATCATAATCATCATCATAATCATCATAATCATCATCATCATCATCATAATTATCATAATCATAATCATCATCAACAACAACATCATCATCATTAATTTTCACTTGTACCGTTAAGAAGAACAATGGTACAGAAAAACAACTGCTGTCCATGTGTAGCATTGGCCATTACTGGAAATCTGTGTGAATGCAGAATGTCGGAAATAGTACTTAAGAAATACAATTTATTCATGGTGACAATGAATATCAGAACACTCGTACAAAACGGAAAATTGGATAATAATTTGATGGCTATGAAGAGAATGAACATCAACATATTAGGAAATAGTCAAATGCAAAAAGCAGACAGATTGGCTGGATCTGCACCACTGGGTGGTGAACTGATACATGACAAGGCAGATGTGGTCAAGGCCCTTTGGGAACAAGCAACAGTAGAGATAGAAGATTATTTTGGCCTTATGGCCTGGAGAGAATGAGGCATCTGGGTGTAACCAGAGGGTCTGGCCGGCTCACTAAGCTCAGAGCAAAGGCAAGACGGACATATAACCAGATTGTGACCGGTACCATTAGTATTAGAACTCTGTGCTTGCTGCTGAAGATAACGAAGGAGCAAGCGTGGGAATGCCCCGAGTGCTGTGATGTTAATTCTTGACTCATCTCAACTCAACACAGTGAAATGCGATATCCGTGAGCAGGGGAAAAGTATTCAGATCAGCATATAATTATTTACCCAGGTGAGAAGGAGTATAGCAAGGGATTTCGTATTATTTAGGATCCAAAGAACTCAAAAACTGTGAACGGATTTTGGACAATTTCAGATAGAGTACTTTTAAGTAAAACTTCGCGGCAGACCGTTTGACATCAATTTAGTAAAGATTTATGCCCCAACAGTAGATAGTTCAGAGGAAGATATTGACGCATTTTATGACGAGTTAGACATGGCTGTTGATCAATGCAACAATTTTGAAGTAACAATGGTGCTTGGAGATTTCAACGCTAAAATAGGAAATGAAAAAGTGTACGGAATAACGGGTGGCTATGGCCTAGGAGACAAGAATGTGAGAGGTGACAGATTAATAGCCTGGGCTGAGTCGCACAGCATGATAGTAGGTAACACCTGGTTTAAACACCATCCTCGAAGATTTTGGACTTGGAAAAGTCCTGGTGATAATGTCCGCAATCAGACTGATTATATTTTGATTCCAAGAAGATTCCGTTGCAGCTTAGCTATAGCAAAAACTAGACCAGGAGCAGACTGCTTTAGTGATCATGTTCCAATTGCAGGAAAGATCGGGGGGAGGGGGGGGGGGGGTAAAGAATATTAGGAAAATACCACAGAACATTAGGTTAAATTTAGGAATTCCTAGAACGGATAACGAAATTAAGGACCAGTACAATGTCACTGTACAAAACCGGTATAATGCAATGGAAATTATACAAACTATTGATGAACAGTGGGATATGTTGCGTAAGTCAATTCAGCAGACATCACAAGAGACAATCCCACTAACCCATAGAGTTGCAAAAAAGAAATGGATGTTAACCGAAATTCTGCAGTTGATGGATGAAAGAAGAAAGAAAACGAATGATAAAGAAGAATACTCTATAATACAAATATAAATAGTGAACAAATGCAAAGTGGCTAAAGAAGCGTGGTTAAATCAAATGTGTACAGACGTTGGGGAAAATCCCGGGAAAGACTCACATTTCATGTACCATTCATTCATTCATTCAGTAGCATGTCCCTCGCGGAACCACGCTGCCATAACAACCCTCCGGAAAACCTTCCTATCATGAGCAAGATGTCCTGCGTCTGATACACCCATCTGGAGATCATCTGCCACATCCTGCACCCATCTTCTCCTTGGCCTTCCTCTTCCTCTCTTCCCAGGCATATACCCCTCCATTATTGTTCTCTCTAGACTTCCATGACGTTTCAAGTGACCAAAATATTTCAATTTTCTTTGTTTTATTGTCTTTACTAGCCAACCCTTTTCAATATGTACCAACAGATAAATATGTAAACAGGAAAGATGACTCGAAACAGTACTGGGTGCAGTTAAGGGTCAGCGGCTGATAAGAGGAAAGTCATGGATGGCTCAGGCAGAAGACACAATCAGACAGGTCTGCATCCTTGAGAACATTAGGCGAGG